ACAGTCTCTCAGACCACAGGGCAATCAAATTAGAACTCAGAATTAAGAAACTAATTCAGAATCACACAACTTCATGGAAACTGAACAACTGGCTCCTGAATGTTGACTGGATAAACAATGAAATGAAGGCAGAAAGAAAGATGTTCTTTGAAACCAATGAGAATGATGACACAACATACCAGAATCTCTGGGACACATTTAAAGCAGTGTCTAGAGGGAAATTTATAGCAATAAATGCCCACCAGAGAAGAGAGGAAAGATCTAAAATCAACACCCTACCATCAAAAATGAAAGAGCTAGAGAAGCAAGATCAAAACAACTTAAAAGCTAGCAGAAGACAAGAAATAACTAAGATCAGAACAGAACTGAAGGAGATAGAGACACAAAAACCCTTCAAAAAATCAATAAATCCAGGAGCTGGTTTTTTGAAAAGATCAACAAAATAGACAGACTGCTAGCTAGATTAATAAAAAGAAAAGGGAGAAGAATCAAATAGATGCAATAAAAAACAAAAAAGGGGATATCACCACCGATTCCACAGAAATACAAACTACCATCAGAAATTACTACAAACAACTCTCTGCACATAAACCAGTAAACCTGGAAGAAATGGATAAATCCCTAGACACTTGCACTCTCCCAAGCCTAAACCAGGAAGAAGTTGAAACCTTGAACAGATCAATAACAAGGGCTGAAGTTGAGGCAGCAATTAAAAGCCTACCTACGAAAAAATGTCCAAGTCCAGAAGGGTTCACAGCTGCATTCTACCAGACATACAAAGAGGAGCTGGTACCATTCCTTCTGAAACTTTCCCAAACAATCCAAAAAGAGGGAATCCTTCCCAAATCATTTTATGAGACCAACATCATCTGGATACCAAAACATGGCAGAGACTCAACAAAAAAAGAAAACTTCAGGCCAATATCCATGATGAACATAGATGCAAAAATACTGGCAAACCAATTGCAACAGCACATCAAAAAGCTTATCCATCACGGTCAAGTAGGCTTCATCACAGGGATGCAAGGCTGGTTCAACATACGCAAGTCTATAAATGTAATCCACCACATAAACAGAACCAAAGACAAAAACCACGTGATTATCTCAATAGAACCAGAGAAGGTCTCCAACAAAATTCAACAGCCCTTTATGCTAAGAACTCTCAATAAGCTAGATATCAAAGGAACATATCTTGAAATAATAAAACTTATTTACAACAAACCTACAGCCAATATCATACTGAATGCGCAAAAACTGGAAGCATTCCCTTTGAAATCTGGTGCTAGACAAGATGCCTTCTCTTACCACTCCTATTCAATATAGTATTGGAAGTTCTAGCCAGAGCAATTAGGCAAGAAAAAAAATAAAGGGTATTCAATTAGGAAAGGAGGAAGTCAAATTGTCCCTATTTGCAGACAACATGATTGTATATTTAGAAGACCCTATCATCTCAGCCTAAAATCTCCTTAAACTGATAAGCAACTTCAGCAAAGTGTCAGGATACAAACTCAATGTGCAGAAATCACATGCATTTCTATACACCAATAACAGACTAACAGAGAGCCAAATCATGAACGAATTCCCATTCACAATTGCTACAAAGAGAATAAAATATCTAGGAATACAACTAACAAAGGGTGTAAAGGACCTCTTCAAGGAGAACTACAAACCACTGCTCAAGGAAATAAGAGAGGACACAAACAGATGGAGAAACATTCCACGCTCATGCTTAGGAAGAATCAATATCATGAAAAATGGCCATACTGCCCAAAGCAATTTATAGATTCAGCGCTATCCCCATCAAGCTACCTTCTTCACAGAACTGGAAAAAAACACCTTAAACTTCAAATGGAACCAAAAGAGAGCCCACATAGCCAAGACAATCCTAAGCAAAAAGAACAAAGCTGGAAGCATCATGCTACCTGACTTCAAACTATACTACAAGCCTACAGTAATCAAAATAGCATGGTACTGGTACCAAAACAGAGATATAGACCAATGGAACAGAACAGAGGCTTCAGAGGAAACACCACACATCTACAACCATCTGATCTTTGACAAACCTGCCAAAAACAAGCAATAGGGAAAGAATTTCCTGTTTAATAAATGGTGTTGGGAAAACTGGCTAGCAGTGTGCAATAAGCAGAAACTGGACCCCTTCCTGACACCTTACACTAAAATTAACTCCAGATGGATTAAAGACTTAAACATAAGACCTAACACCATAAAAACCCTAGAAGACAACCTAGGCAAAACCATTCAGGACAGAGGCATAGGCAACGACTTCACAACTAAAACACCAAAAACATTGGCAACAAAAGCCAAAATAGACAAATGGGACCTAAATAAAATCTAGAGCTTCTGTTTCTGCAAAAGAAACAATCATTAGAGTGAACCGGCAACCAACATAATGGGAAAAAAATTTTTGCAACCTACCCATCTGACAAAGGGCTAATATCCAGAATCTACAAAGAACTAAAACAGATTTACAAGAAAAAAAAACAAACAAATCCATCCAAAATTGGGAGAAGGATATGAACCGACACTTTTCAAAAGAAGACATATATGAGGCCAACAAACATATGAAAAAATGCTCATCATCACTGATTATTAGAGAAATGCAAATCAAAACCACATTGAGATACCACCTCACAACTGTTAGAATGGCGATCATTAAAAAATCTGGAGACAACAGATGCTGGAGAGGATGTGGAGAAATAGGAACGCTTTTACACTGTTTACACTGTTGGTGGGAGTGTAAACCAGTTCAACCGTTGTGGAAGACAGTGTGGTGCTTCCTCAAGGACCTAGAAATAGAAATTCCATTTGACCCAGCAATCTCATTACTGGGTATATACCCAAAAGATTATAAATCGTTCTGTTATAAAGATACATGCACATATATGTTCATAGTGGCACTGTTTACAATAGCAAAGACCTGGAACCAACCCAAGTACCCATCAATGATAGACTGGACAAGGAAATGGCACATATACACCATGGAATACTATGCAGCCATAAAAAATTATGAGTTCATGTCCTTTGTAGGGACATGGATGAATCTGGAAACCATCATTCCCAGCAAACTGACACAAGAACAGAAAATCAAACAGCCCATCTTCTCACTCATAGGCAGGTGTTGCACAATGAGAACACAAGGACACAGGGAGGGGAGCATCATGCACTGGGGCCTGTTGGGGGATGCCAAGGGAGAGATGGGGGGTTAGGGAGGTCAGGGAGGGATAACATGGAGAGAAATGCCAGATGTAGGTGACTAGGGGATGGAGGCAGCAAACCACATTGCCATGTGTGTACCTATGCAACAATCCTGCATGATCTACACATGTACCCCAGAACCTAAAGTACAATAAAAAAAGGGGGAAAAAATGGAATTGTCAAAAGTAAACTGAAAAAAAAAAAAAGAGAAGGAAACCGTGGTATAAAATACACAATGGAGTACTATTCAGCCTTAAAAACAATGAGATCCAGCCATTTGCAACAACATGAATGGAACTGGAGATTATTATGTTAAGTGAAATAAGCCAGGCACAAAAAGACAAACATTGCATGTTCTCACTTATTTGTAGGATCTAAAAATCAACTACATCTAAGAACAGAAGGAACCACGGGCCAGCTTCTCCCTTGAAACTAGCCCCCTGGAGGAGCAGCCTCAGAGAGGGCACTGAGCCTGCATGGGGAGGTCATGGTGAAGTGGGAATTGTGGTACAGCATGCTTAGGCAGACAGGACCTGAGACAGAACCTTCCAGGTCCCATAGCTCTTGAAATTGAAAGCCAGATTTCTCAGACCTGATTTTGAAATTCAAAATAAAAACTGGATTCTTCTGGCCTCATTCCTGTCATCTCTCAGAATCAATGGATTTCTAATGCAATGGGTAGAAGGCCATGAAGAAGCAAAAATTGCCAGAAATTAAAATTAAAATCCCACAACATTATTCCTCCATTTTACCATTATTATTTGGATTGAATGGAGCATAGGGTGTGGCCGGGAGGCAGAGCAAGTTGTCCCACCTCTATGAGGTCACAGCTGAAGTCACAAAGCATTGAAAAAGCCAAGGTTGATATGGGAACAGAGGGCTGTTGTAAGATGGGGCTCAAAGAGGAAAAAGTCTAGCGGGGAAGGAGTGGGGCAAAGTGTGATTTGGGGAACAAAGCAAGGTAAGTTCCTAGACATAACTGACCTGGTTCTTGATGGTGGCTTGGAGGTCAAGAAGGGTGGGAGTGGGAAAAGTGGGAGGGAAACTTATCAAAGGAGGATCTGTCTCCTGTCTAGGTCACTGCCTATGAGCCCTCCTTCCCTACAAAGCACTTGAAGGCTAGAGCTGATGGCCCTGCATCCTGAAACTCTATCCTTAGTTAACCATGAAAATTCTGACTGAGGCAGGAGCGGGTAGGGTATTTGCCAATAGGGTTGGGGTTTGATAGCCCAGTAGAGTGTCTATAATTAACAACCATTCATTATGTATTTCAAAATAGTTGGATGAGAAAAGCTGAAATGTTTCTAGCACAAATGTTGCATTCACTCTACACCAGTTGCTGTCCTTGCCATTGAGTCCACCCTGAACTCAAAGATCCTTCAGCCAACGCCCCATCCGCAGTCTCTGACAACTGTTATTTTTCACCAACTTTCTCACTGCAATTTCTGTTGTTACTGACAAAGACTATAGGAAGATTTTTCTGGGGGCAAATACTTCCTTCCTCTTACCCTCCTCTTGCCCTCATCTTTCTTTACACATATGTACACACATACATGCACATATATGCATGCGCACACGCACACACATGCACATGCACACTCACCCATTCAAAACACAGATGTTTCATTAACTGCTGAGACATCTGTCCTGGTATTTCTCCAGTGAATAAGCTCTTTTCTTCTCACCATGTGCCTGCCTTCTCCCCAGATTCATTTATGACTCCCCAGGGCCTGGAGCTGTCTCCATCTTTAGCTCCAGAGTCCTTGGTTTCTGTCTGAGAACAAATGGCACAGCATCCCTGGCAGGATCAACAACAAAAGGCAGAAATGGCCTCCAAGCAGCAGAGAAGGTAATGGGGCTAATGGTGACCCTCAAGCTTCCTTAGATTGCTATACTCCACGGGGGAAGAACCAGGGCCTCCTGTCTCCATCGCTCTTCATTTGGCTTCACTTGCTTCCTTGCTGGATAAGATGGGACTTTCATGTGTCCTCCCTCTTCTCCATCTCCTCAATGAAAGAGATAATAGCAAATCTTTGCCATTCTCATTCAGAAAGAAGGCATCAATTGCAATTCCTCTAGGAGTTGGTGGGGTATACAAGCTAGAGACATTTGTTTATTCCAGGATTGACTTTCCCTAAGTCCTTTATGTCCTCTATAATGTGAATCAAGGCCAACCATCAAAAATCAAGCTTCTCTTGGCCTAGCGTGGAAAAGAGGATTAGAATCTGCTGCTGGAGGCTAAATATGAGACACCGGTGAGGGTATCCATAAAGTCAGAAAAAAAGGAGGGTTTACTGTGAACTTATGGGTCAGAAAAGCTTCATAAAGGAATCAGAAGTTGGCTGGAGCCTTTGACTTGCAGCAGATGTCTTAAGAGTTTGTAGAAATTTGGGAAGAGAAAGTGAAAAATGTCTTCTAAATTCCTAAGCTACCTATCTTATGAAAGTGCTCAGAATGGTTACCTGGGCCTCAAGCCTGAGAGCCAGTAAGGAACTGAGAAGCCTGAATCTGGGGGAAGTTGGGAGTCTGCTCTATCTAAGAGTATGAATTCTCCTCCGGACAGGACCTTGAGGAGAAAATACTGAGTAGACATTGGAGTCTCCTAGACTTCTATATGAGGAAGCATGTAAACCACACCAGAGCCCTGGCTTTTCTGCTGATGAACAGATGCTTTTTGATGGTGGAGTGGACAGGACATAAAAATAACACACAATAAAAATAACACCTGAAGAAAAACTTAGCAGTTACAAAGGCTTCCATATGATCATCCCCCAAATCCTTGAGAGAAAGATTACTCCTTTTGTTTGCTAGGTGAGGAAACAGGCTTAGGGCTGGGGTTTGATAGCACAGTAGGGTGACTATAATTAACAACCATTCATTATGTATTTCCAAATAGTTGGATGAGAAGAGCTGAAATGTTTCTAGCACAAAGAACCCATCAATGTTTGAGGTGATGGATATCCTAAATACTCTTGATTTGATCATTACATATTGTATGCATTATCAAACTATCACATGTACCTCATAAAGATGTACAATTATTACATATCAATAAATAAATTAAAAGGATGTTTTCAGAATTACAGGCATGGCCTGGATTTGCAGTGAGTAATAGCTCTGCCAGGTTCTATGGAGAACTAGCGCTCCAACTGGCAGAATTGTGTCCCTGAGCCATCTGATATGGTGGCTCCCAAGGAGATTTCCCCATGCTATCAATGTTCATCAAGAGTCCCCTCTTAGCTAGAAATATGTTAGGCTTAATGTCTTTTTATTTATTTATTTATTTATTTATTTATTAATTAAGTGACAGGGACTTTCTCTGTTGCCCAGGCTGGAGTATAATAGCGCAATCATAGCTCACTACAGCCTCAAACTCCTAGGCTCAAACAGTCCTTCTGCCTCAGCCTCCTGAGTGAGCTAGAACTACAAGAGCCTGCCACCACACCTGGCTGGGCCTTTGTTGCTGTTGTTGTTGTTGTTGTTTTGTTTTGTTTTGTTTTATAGAGACGAGGTCTCACTATGTTGCCCAAGCTGGTCTTGAACTTCAGTGTCACCTAGGGCCCAGTTTTCACTCTATTCTGGGTCCCCAGGCTCCCTGTGATCATTGGCCTCCCTACCCCTGTTTAGAAAAACTTATTTTTTTTTTTTATGGCAGGAACTGTACTAGCAGGAACTCCAGGCCAGAGATGTAAGGATCATTGGTTTCTGAAACATTTTCCCTCTATCGCATTTTCCCCTTTTTTAAAACCCCTTTTCAGGTTTCTTCCCCAGAGCTCCTGAAACAATTCTAGAAGGTAATTAACCTACCCTTCCTTCCTCTAGTTCATTACCTATGTCCTGGCTTCCTTTGACCTAGTCAAGTCTGCACATGGCCAGGAGATGAGGCTGGGTTTGCTCAGGATCCGTGAGCATAGGAGAGCAGCCTGGTTCCCCAGGCTCCACTCGCTTTTCACCCTTCTTCCTCCTTCAGTTACCTGTCTATCTGTATACGCCCCCTCCCAGGTGACTTTGCTACTGATTTAGGAATTAGGTGGTATTTAGGAATAAGAGCTTCAGTTGTGCTGCCAAGAATAAGCAAAATCTTTCAACTTCTTCCTCAGCCTCTCATCCCCATTTTCACCCCATCATCAGTCATGAAGGAAAAGAACACCTTTGGGAAAGCAGTTTGCTAACTGAGTGTACTTTCCAAAGAGGAACCTGGGAAGTTTGACAGGTTAGGTGGGATGAAGGGTGGAGAGTGGACATAAATTAGGCAGGCAGGAGAATGACAAGGCTTAATGACAGTGACCATCGCCTTCACTTCCATTGTTCTATGGTTTAGAGTTCTCAAAGGGCTTCCAGAACAGTCAAGATACTTGGAAGATGAGGCAAGGGTCCCACCTCTCCCTAAACCTCCCATAAGGGATGTGAGAGGCAGGACCCTGGCTATCCTTCCTGGATTTTTAGTACAGAAACTTAGAGAATTCCTGGTTGGAGTGATAGAATAGAGTTAGGAGAAGCCTTTAGCCCATGTTCTCTGCTCCTCATAGTTGTATTTCATTCTTTCTTTCCAGTACATCCATAGAAGAGACAATGAGACCACAGGTGGGTAAGGTATCCAAATTCTCTGGATCCTCTGGGGCTCCTAATTCCTAGGAAGAGGGGAGGAAAAGAGGTTGTGGACAGGAGGCCAAAAAAAAAAAAGCTGCCTGACAAGGGACGGATGCTCTTGACTGGCTGGTGGGGTGGGTCGTTGTCTACCAAACCAGGTAACATCTCCAGTGCCACTATGTCACCAGACGACTCCAGGGGCAAGCAGCCTGAACGGACATTGACACAGTGGTACACAGATGGGTCTGCTTGTACCTGTCACCCACCAGCTAGATCCAGAGCAAAGCAGGACGTATGGGATGAAAATGACTCAGCAGGGCTGCAGGAAACTTTTGGCTGCCTGAGAAATGGGGTGATTTGGGGTGTCTAGCTCAATTCCAAGAAATATCTTGTCTTCCACCAGTTTCATAATGTGTCACTTCAGATTCTGGGAGAGTTGGGATATTGTTTCCAACATTTGTTCCTTATTTCTACAGGAAAGACAGGTAACCATCACTGAAACCCTGTGGGACCAGGTGAGTACAGAGGAATCATTTTTGACAGCACGGCGAGGGGTGGGAGGCAGGGGAGGGCTTCAGAAAGGAGCACATTTCTTTCTCTTTCTTTGAGCAGTTTGTTGATTGATGGTGAAGGATCGACACACTCCCTCCCACCTTGCTCTGTTGCTCTGAGGATACCATCTCACGTCCTCAGAGCTCCTCGTGTCTGTGCATGTCAGCGCCCCTTCCCAACACACACTTGTTTGAAGCTGTCACAGGTCCTGTTTGTTTTAAGGGGGTTTAATCCCCCGTTCTCAGTGACTGCCATGGACTTGAAAGCATAGGTTTGGCCTTTCACAAACATGAAAATGTCAGTTTCAATTCAGAAACATAAAAATGCCAGGTTTCACTTTATAGATGAAGGGTACAGGTGTGCAGAAGCTAGTAACGCCCACAAGATAGCCACAGCAAACTGTGGTGAACTTTCCTAGAACACAGACATTTTCTTGGAGTTTCTGAGAGGCCTTCACACAAATACCAGCTACTTCAACATCCCAATCTTACAATATTAGTTGCTTGTAAAGCCTTGAATAGAGATGAGAATTAAAAGATAATTGATCACTTTTGAATGTATAATGTTGGAAACTGAGCAGGAAAAGACTGTTAATTAAATCAATGACCATGGCTTTCTGATTAAAAATGAGTAAAATTCTCCAGAGACTCTTGTGCCAGCCCCCACTGTACGATATTATATAAAATGAATAATGTGTCCAACATGTTTTATTCTCTGTGATATTCAGTGAGTCTTTACATAAGGAAATAATCTTAATTATAATGCTATACAGTATCATAACTATTTCATGTTCTTACAATTGTTGTATTAGCTAAAGAGTAAGTTGTTTGTGTAAGGGTCAGAAGACCACCCTGTTGAGAACAAGTGAATAATCAGATACTTATAATAATGGGTGAACAAAGGGAAATGAATTGATCATTGAGAGGTGACAAATTGATCATGAGCACTCTACCCCTTTGACCATTCATTCATCTTCCGTATGTACCCTCATACACAAATTGAAACTCCTGAATATCTACATACACTATATTTCCACCAAATGAGATACAACTATCTATCTTAAAGTTCTCACACTTTCTCCCAAGGGAGAAAAGCCACAGTTCCAACAGTCACTGGATCCATGCACAGCTAGGTAGTACAGTAGGTGGACAACCGAGGCGGACGGATCACAAGGTCAGGAAATTGAGACCATCCTGACCAACATGGTGAAATCCCATCTCTACTAAAAATACAAAAATTAGCTGGGCGTGGTGGTGCACAACTGTAGTCCCAGCTACTCAGGAGGCTGAGGCAGAAGAATCACCTGAACCCAGGAGGCGGAAGTTGCAGTGAACCGAGATCATGCCACTGC